GACTGGGGGTTAAGGTATTTGCTCATCACTCCCCAATATCTCTATGTAAACATATCTTTGACGCCAAAATCTAAATATGCTATACTGCTTTAATAAACATAACAAAAGTGAGTTGTCCAATTGAACTCTTGACTTTTTACAGCGTGCAGTGTTACCCAGCGTCCTACAGCTTTTCATTGTCTGTCACTTTCTACCAGATGAATCTAGTTCCAGCCTGTTGGAGCTCACATTATGGACTTATCCTAATTTTCACCCAAATATGGATGATTGCTTTTCAGTAAGTCAGAGGAAGACATTATGTAACAACTCAGCATTTCTATCTGGGCAGCGGACTGAAAGACAAGGACAGAGTCAGAGCCTCTGAGCTGTGGACCCCATTACCATGGCATTGATAGATTTTTCCATCTCAGCTGATATTGACCATTTCTAATAGCTATCGGGACGCAGCAGTTGAGGGGACGTGTTCCATGCAGCCAGCGTAGGACCCCTGGAGAGGGATAACACACAATGCGAGCTGAATCAAAATGTCACACACATCTCCAATATGACCTTAAATATGTGTTGTGTGTAGTGGAAAGTAACTATTTACTTTAGTACAATTTTAAGGTACTTTTAGGTACATTTTAATGCTACTTACAACTTCTACTCAACTACAGTTCAGAGGGAAACTACCAAATAGTAAAAATAACAATAAACTGTCTTAATAGATTTTAACAAAGAACATGTTGTTCATTTTTCATGATTAACTTATTCACAAAAAAACAGTAAATTCAGATTCTCCTGAGTTGAATATTCTATGTACACAATCAATAGGAGGCATTTTAAGCTGTTTGTACCCTTAGAAAATCGAATCAGAACTGAATAAATTGAATCAGTATTTCCCTTCTGGTGAAAGTCAGAACCCCCGTCCATTGGAGACTCCGGGGTTGCAGGGCTGGAACCAAACAGAAGGAGAAAAGAAAAAGACACAAGCCAGTGGTCCCCATGGATATACATAATAAAGGCTAGATGTCTCGTACGCGCTGCTGGCCAATGGAGGTCGACGTCCGCACCTGGCGGCCATCTTGCCACAGTCAGCTCGCTCACTCGTAACATTGTTTTAATGGTGCATGTACTTTTTAAATAACCATAACTTGCTCAATTTTCTACCGATTTTCAAACGGTTTGGTTTGTTATAAACGTCAGAGATGTAGTTATGACACATACATTTATGAATAAAAGAAAAAAAAATCACACATGTTCAATAATAATAATAATAATTAAATAAGCATCCAGAATTATAGCCACGTTAATAACGTTTGTAAGAAACCAAACCGTTTGTAAATCCGTCAAGATTTCAGCGAGATAAGAGTATTTGTGTTCGTGCAGATCACTCATCTTACATCAGGTACCACAGAGCCCGCCAGAAAGCTTGCCTGTGACAAGATGGCCGCCGGTGATGACGTTAGAGACTCCGCCGTAAGACATCTAGCCTTTATTATGTATATCTATGGGATAAGCTGCATGAAAACCAACCGGTAAATGATATATGATGTGAGAAAAAATGATTCCTTAAAAAGAGAGGGAACCCTGTTGAGTTAGTTGTGGGTACTTTTAACTCATGTATTGTTGTGTTTTGTAACATAAGAATAGACAACATTTCTGAAGTAAATGAGTATATTTGTGCTACTACCACCTTATACGGCCCATACTGAGTACAGACTATCAATTACTTGCTATAATTTAGAAATAATTAGGAGTTTTTAAATGGGAAACTCTTAATAATGGTCTAGTAGTTGTAGTATATGCTCATGCAGAATAAGGCATTAATAGGTGCAAATAGTTAACAGTCAATATGTGTACCTTAATATAAAATGTAAAACATCCAGTAACAGATGATGAGATGTGGTGTTGTTGCCATTTACTGTGCAACCAGCAGAAATGTTCCTGTAATTCCACTCTGTGTCCACCAGAGTGTGCTCTTTATTGTAAAGCACAGATGTGTTTCAGTGCAGAATGGGATGCTTTCTATGGGATCATATTATAAAGTACTGATGTCAGACTCTCCCTCTGTCAGTATGATTACAGTTTCCGCACAGAGCACAGTGCAGCAGCTCGCCTCCCCCCCAGTCCAACACGGACCTCCCTGAGCTCCGAGGCCTGAGGACCCCCCTTCTAACTCCTCTCTAACAACACTCTCAAGACCTGTACACAACTACTGAGGACCTCCCCACAACAAACAGTCCCAAACACCTGTACTGAAAAAAAAAGATTCTGTGGGTCTGGCTGAAACCACTATGTACAACATTGACAAGCTGGATTTAGAAATGAGACAAACTTGCTCAAGGAAGTGGAATGGAATCACTTCTTCTCTCAAAAGAATCGTGAAGTGTTGTTCCCTGTGATACAAATAACCACACTCCATCTACATGACTTCTTACAGACAAGATAAAAGGATTGAAAGGATTCTTTATCCTGATGGAGGGCACCTGTAAGGCCTTTGCTCTCTCAGGTGGTGTGAGAGCGAGAGCAGCCATCATATTTGCCTTCCACACCTGCTGCTCTGCTGTTGGCCTGAATGGAATCCTCCAGTTCACGTGTTGGAAACACAAAAGGAAACTCCACATCATATGATTTTGTTTTCAAGCTTATACCAGTCTTCTCTGTGTTTCTGTAACATACTGGTGTGACTATGAGTGCACTTTGTGATTTTGGAATTTCAGTGTGCTTTCTGTTTGTCACAGATATTGTGTTAACCACTCCTTCACTGTGTGTGTGTGTGTGTGTGTGTGTGAGTGTGAGTGAGAGAGAGAGAGAGAACCAGGCTTTGCTTTATAGAACCACTGTTTCTGTTCAAAAGTTACTAAACCATGACTCATTTTACACTGCTTGACTACACATACCACTGTTCTTATGTTTTTTTTTAAACCATAGTTAATGTAATGTCTGCTATATTTTTTTTTTTTTTAGGGCTGGGTGTCATTTTTCCATATTACAGATGATAGAACATCACATGAGCTTTGGTACCAGTACCAAACAATACTTTTTCACTGCCTTAGAATCGCTATGAATATAATAATTTTTCTAAACAAAAAAACATTTTTCATGGAAAGAGGAGCTTAAAGCTGCAGTAGGTAACTTATAAAAATATCTTTTTGTCGTATTTGCTGAAATAACTATATCCTCTGATTGGTTGTTTTCGTTCAGGCCCGGTGGATTCATGTAAATACCATTAGGAGCACTAGGAAGAGTCAGAGGAACCTGATTTTTTTCAAGGATTATCTGTCTCATGTACTTCTGTCAAGATATAGTGAAAGTTTCAGCAGATATGAGAAGAAAAAACCTGCTGCAGCTTTAAACGTACTACAAGGTTATGAAACAGTCTAATTTAATACTGATGTCTCTATACGACCTACATAAACAAACAAAACAAACAACACAAGTAAAAAGTACTCTCTTGGTTTCTCTGAAGCACATTTCTACTGGCTGTTAATGTGCAAAGCTAACTGAAACTTTACCAAGAAATTTTGATGTTAACTTAACAACTTAATGTTGACTAAAAACTAGACTGGACTCGAAATTATTAAAAAACACAATGTAATTTTTCACATTATACTCAGACAATAGCAAGAAAATGTCCTGAACTGGATTATAATTTTTTAATTATATATTAAATAGAAGTGAATATTGTTTCAACAGTACATTTTACAACAGCAAAGTCCCTATAAAACTCAATATCTCACTGGAAACAAATCTGTCAGTAAAATAAAATATATTCTTGACATCAAACACAAACATCAGTCAGTGTCAGTCCTTCCTCCTGTCCTCCTAACAAATACTGAGACTACACACAAACAGCTTTATTCTTTATTACATTACCAAGCTAACTAACAACTGAAATGCTCTCAAGTTCTGATATAACACTTGCTAGCAGCATCTATGCTAGCCTTTTTAGCAGCCGCCATTGTTGCTTTTTCCCCACACGTCAAACACACCTAGCGTTAAACCGCGTCCATAGCTCATGCCGTAGCTGCCAGTACTTCCTCAAAGGACTGTGATTGGTCAGAACCACTGTTAGACACAAGCTCATAGCTTGAAAACTGGCAAGATCGTGTTTCGCGTTATTTCTCAAATCCAGCGTCCTCGTGAGGTTAGTGACACTGGCTCCTACAACTCTACAATCTAAAGTTTACTGTCCATGTTGAGTATATACTACATACCTTGATATAAAAAGTAGAAACCTTCATGATCATAACATAAGTCCTATGACAAAAAGTGTCTTACCAAATGTCAAAGTTTACCCCAAATGGGCAGTATTTGCATAATTGTGGCCTAGTCTTATCCTGTAATCCTAATTATTAATTATTAATAAAAGCAATCTGACCTTTAATTTGAGCCATTAATCAGTCCCTCCAGGATTTCCTCCAGGGTTCTTTTGGGTTATGTATATATTGTAAATGTCTGATTTCACGGCAGCTTTTCTTAAACAATTGTGATACACGTTGCAAAGTTTGTAGGCATGTTTTGCAATGAAATTGGGATAGAAAGTAAAAATGTCTTTGTTTTTGATTTTGTATATTTCATTAAAGATTGAAGAGGAGTTGTTCCAGAGAGAATAAAATCGCACTGTTTAGAGGGTAAATGTGAGATGGGATGCATGGCCTGCATCTTCACAACTGAAAACAAAGAATGTCTCAACTTTTTTTGCGGGAACACTACAATGATTGGTCAGTTTTGCAGAAATGTTACAGTGATTGGATAAAATTGCAAGGTCGTGCACAAGTCACCGTTCAGTTTGCGTTAATTGTTGCAATTGCAAACTCCTGGAGGGACTGACTGGAGCTACTGACAATTAAACTAAACACTTCCTGCAGTTGTTTCAAATTAAAAGACTGCTGGTTGCTCATAAGCATTTCATTGCATCTAGCACTCCAGTGGGATGTCCGTGTATTCAGAGCGACTCTTCTCTTTACGTTAATACAGCATTCTCTTTTGATTTTGGTGAAGAACATTGAAAGTGTATTATTTGTTTCATAACAGATGTTTTACTATATTTTCTGCAATATTATCAAGTCATAAATGCATGGATTCACTCCTTTTATTTTTTATTTTTATTTGTCTAATTTATTAGTCATTTCAGTATTGTGACCCTGTTGTCTTAAAGACTGTTTTCAGAAATGTAACATGAAATTGTCGATTGCACTGCTGACGTGTGATGAGGGTGAACAGATCCATGTGAGGCTTTGTGTATTTGAGTGTATCAGACTGCTCTGTGATCAGCTATGTATAATTTCTCAGATGTGGCGTTTACCTGCCCAGTTTTTGCTAAAACATTTAATAGCTAACTAATATGGTGTCTGCGTAACAACCCTGCTTTGATATGTCTGTTAGTTTGCATGCACTGTGACATGAGATGTCAGAGGTTTCAATAGACAGTTATTTTTGTAGATTGTTGATCAAGTCACAGATTTTGTCTCATAAATAGATTTTATTCACTAAAGAATGAACAAAACAGCATCAGTTGAATTTGTATTATAAGGAAGTTTTATTAAACTATGAACTAAAGGCCTTGACCTTAAGTTGACTCTTATTTTGTTAAAAATGCTGATGTGACTCGACTTTGAGCCTGATCAGTGCTGCATTATTGAGGTGGATGAAGATGTTTGAGAGTTTAACAAATTCAATTCAATTAAGTTTTTTGTATAGTGCCAATTCATAACAGAATTTATCTCAGGACACTTTTCAAATAGAGCAGGTCTAGAACGAATAACAGTGAAAGTTAATAGAGTGATTCCTAATAATATTGCCTAAGGGAAGCATATATAAAGTGAATAGAATTGGTCCAAGTACAGAACC